ACACATTTGACCTCTGGTCCTAAAATACGAGGAGCCATTGCAACATTACATTCCTTTAATTTTTTTTTTTTTTTAAATGCACTATTCCACCCGTGGTGGGGTTATTGAAGTTGAAGGCCCCAAGTACAAGGGGGTTTTCTAGGCTGTTTGTTTAATCTCTGCTGAGCTCTGCCACAAATGGGCCTTTTGTAGGAAAATAACGTTCCTTGGTGCTTAGCAGAAGGCAAATTGGAAGAGGGCACATTTTACGTGTTTTTGGCCATTTAAGAGAGCTGAGTTTTTTAAAGGGTTTTATTTTTTATTGTCTGTGGGTTGAGATGGTGACCTTACATTAAGCTTGCATTTTACCTTCAGTTTTTCCTTTCTTTTTCCTCCCCTCCCTCTTTTCTCTCTTCTGTTCTCCTCCCCTCCTCCTCTCTTTTCGCTCTTCTTTTTTCTCTTTTCCCCCCTCCCCTTCCTTTTTCTCTCTTCTCTTCTCGTCTCTTCCCTTCCCTCCCCTCCCCTCCTCTATTCTCCTTTTTTCTTCTCTCTCCTCTACTCTGTTTTCTCTCTTCTTTTTTCTCTTCTCTCCCCTTTTTTTCTCTCCTCCCCTGCCCTCCCCTCTTTTTCCTGCTCCTCTCCTCCATTCATGCAGAAGGAAACCATATTCTGTCTTTAAGTGGAGATTCCAGGGTCATTTAGAGCTGTTCATACAACTGCTATACTCACCTGATCCTTTTAGATCAAGGCCCCAGCCTTCGCCATAATGGGAGCCTCTGACTTGTTCTTTAGAAAGATATACCGTTACCTAGGAAAGAAGGTTTCCTTAAAAGCATTCAATCAAAGCCAAACCTAAGGAAGACCAGGCTTAAAATGCTTCCACCACTACTGCTTAACTCGCACAACACCAATACACTTGCTCTGGAGTGTGGCCTCCGGGGATGAGTCAGGAATAAAGCAACTGACAACAACTTTTAAGTATTTTATTGGTCTCCAGGAATTGCTAATAAATCGTTGATGAAGGGCAAGAGTAATATAAGTTCTACGGACACAGTTGTGGTGAATTACTTTCATAATTTAAGAAATTCTTTTTTTCTGGCACCTTCCTAATGGGCTGTCCATATTTATGACCGTCAGTAGTTCTTGGCAAGTATAAAAGTTGCTGCCTTATGCGAGTTACAAATTATTATTTTAACACTACGTTGTTAAAGTTTAATTTGTTTTACAACTTATTCATGAAAAGTGTATTTCGTTTAATAATACTGTCTCTACTCCAGGTAGCCCTTGACTTAACAAACATCCATTTAATGACCATTCAAAGTTACAACTGTGAGAAGTGGTTTAAGAGTTAAATGATCATCAGAACATTAGTATTTCCTATATTATTATTAACATGCTCTGATGCTAAGGAATTCTACTCCCCCTCCCCATCTGAAAAGAAATCTGTTCCAAATGCAAAACACAAGCAGAGGAGAGGAATCAGGGAAGCCATCAAAATAGAGAAACACCCCCATAACATGAATAAATGGGACGATGCCTCCCGCCTACCACACATCTGGAAACTAGCCCTTATCAACAAACAAGCCCCAGCCACGAAAAACAACACCGGACCCAAAACAACACATGATACCACCACCATTCTCCCTCACCAGACTCAAACCCAAACCGATCCCATAGACGAAAGACAACCACCATCCAGAAACCAGACCACGGCTGCATCTCCAGCTGCCACATACCCTGACCCCCAAACCAAGCAAATGGACACATGCCATGAACACATATCAAGGCCTCAAACTTGGAGCCAAACCAAAGCCCAGAATGTCACATCACAACCACCCGCTCTGGATATCACGTCACAGAACTCAGGAGGTTACACCACAAAACCTCGGGATGTTGCAACACAGCCAACGACCCAGGAGATTACAGCACAAGACCCAGGATGTCATAACAATAGAACTCAGAAGGTCATCACACAGCCCATGACCCAGGTCATTACGACCCAGGAGATTACAGCACAAGACCCAGGATGTCACAACAATAGAACTCAGAAGTCATCACACAGCCCATTACCCAGGTCGTTACAACACAGGAGGCTGATGGACACACAGCCAATACCTCAGCCACACATGTTCTTATGAAAAAACCAGCCACTCTGCAAACATCAACTTCATCAACCAATCAAGAAATGACAACACAGCCAACCTCCCCACCAGTATATATAGGGAGACGGCAGCTCCGATCACGCTTTGCTTGCACAAGCACGAAGCCGAAAGCACCAGCCTGAAGATGGTGAATGGGACCTCGTCGAAACGTTGCCAAGATGCTCTCAATCTTACACGAGAAAAGACCCGAACACGCCAAGACCTGCATGTATGTATGTATGTATGTATGTATGTATGTGTGTATGTATAGAAATAATAATGGCTGTTGTAGCATTTTTCAGTAGGAATTTGGCCACTGATTCAGTAGAAAAATAAAATATACAGATACGGAAAAGCTAAGCATTTGTGGAGAAAAATTAACGTAATGCACAATGTGTTTTGTTCCTCATTCTACATGGTATTAAAAAGGAGTTTATTTTCACGATTGGAAAGACTTGTCCCATTTAAAATATTCTAATGCAGTTGGCAAGTAAGTGATAAATGTAGGTTAATTAATCTGTCTTTTGTAAAGACATTCCTTCATGGGTTGTGTGTGTACAATGAGTGTATGAGAGGCTCATTTTATGAAACCAGTCTTTTTAGCATTTCCTGTTACGGCGTTTAGAACCACTTTGAAAAACTGGCTACTGATGTTAACGCGGGTGCCTAAAAGCCACTTGAGGCTGGATTTTGAGAACAAACTGCCCCAAATTACACAAACTGGATTAGGATTTCTCTTTATGTGCCTCAGAAGTTTGTCTCATGTTGGGTATGTATTCTCTGATGGAGAGAGAGATACAGTAAATAAATTCCACTATACGGTGGTGAACTTAATCTCAGAGATAACATTGCTATTGCGCTAGTTTTAAATCGGGAATTGTATTCTTGCGGTTAAAAATAATCCAGCCTCTGTTCAGATGTGTGTCATTTTTTTTCCACCCTTCACATACCGTGTGCTTCACAAGCAGAACTCAAAATGGGTTTTTAAATGAATTTAATGTGGAAGAAAAGTTAGCTGTGTGCTGCTTTGAGCTGCTGGAGCAATGGCAGATGTCCGAGGAAATCATGGGATGGGACGTTGCCTGGATTCCCAGGAGGGAAGGAAGAAGAACATTCTAGAGCAAGAAGAGACAACGCAGTTGTGTGAGTGAAAGAGGGTGAGGACATCTCCCCCCCAATTGTTCCCAAACTACAGGAAGTCCTCAACTTGCGACACCAATTAAACCCCCCAACATTGTTGTTAAGTAAGACATTTGTTAAGTGAGTTTTGCCCCATTTTATGACCTTTCTTGGCACAGTTGTTCAGTGAATCACTGCAGTTGATAAGCTTAGTAACCAGTTGTTAAGTGAATCTGGCTTCCCCATTGACTTAGCTCGTCAGAAGGTCGCAAAAGGGGATCACATGACCCGCGGATACCACAACCGTCATAAATATGAACCAGTTGCCAGCAATCCGAATTTTGATCACGTGACCATGGGATGCTGCAACGGTCATAAGTGTGAAAAAATGATTATAAGTCACATTTTTTGGTGCTGTTGTAACTTTGAACAGTCATTAAATGAACTCTTGTACGTCAAGGATTTCCTGTATGTGCTTTATGGGGCTGATAGCCTGCTTTAGTTTGGCAAGATTCTGTCTATAAGTGAGGAACGGTAAAGAGATCTGCCTTTCTTGGTCTTTGGAGCCTGACCTACATGGTGATGTATAAAATTCTTTAAGGTCTAGGTCAGTGGTGGCTAACCTTTTTGGGCTCTTGTGCCAAAAATTGTGTGCTCGTGTGCCAGCATCCAGAAGGCAATGCGTGCGCAACCCCCACCACCACCTGCACTGCACTTCCCCGCTGATTTTCGGCCTGTTTGAGGCCTTTTTTGGCCTCCAAGAGGCTTGAGGAAAGCTTCTGCAGGCTTTGCAGGCCGAAAAATGGGCCCATTTTGTCACTTCCGCTATTTCTGGAAATACAGGAAGTGACAAAACAGGCCTATTTTTCGACCTGCAAAGACTTTTCTCAAGCCTCTGGGAGGCCAAAAAAGGCCTCAAACAGGCTGAAAATCAGTGGTGAGGTATGCGCATGCGCAGTGAGGTAAGTTTGCGTGTGGCTCACGTGCCAGCACAAATGGGTCTGCGTGCCATAGGATCACCATCACGGGTCTAGGTGTAAATGAGACATAAGTCACTTAAAATAAATTTCTTCTGCTTAACCTGAAAATAAACGTGTCCCTTTTACCAAAATTCATGTTGTCTGTTCACCAGCAATTTACTACTCTTGTTCTAAGCAGTGCTTGATTGTTTATTTATTGAACTTCTGTTGCACAAAATAGTCTTTTTCATTTTCTTTTTTCTTTTTTTATATGGTTCCCCTTAGCAAACAATGTTGCATATGTTTTTGTGGCTTAGAATCTATGCAAACAGTTACAGCTGATAAAACGAGAGCTAACAATGCCGTAAAAATTCTTCTCTATTATTAGGCTTTACTGTATTACACGACTGCATTCCTCTTGGAAGCTCAGCAGATTGGAAAAAAAAAAAGAACAAGTGTCAGAAAATTGTGTACATTCCTGTATCTTAAATCTTGCTCTCATTTGGCTCCAAGTTACACGGCCAATTTTTAATCAACAATAACTCTGGTCATTTGTTTCTGAACACAACCAAGCAGTTGGATAGCTAATACTAGAATACTTTTTCCCCTCCCTGTATAACTTGTCCCTACTTTTGGAAATAAGTGGTTCATGGTGTGTATGTGTTTATTATGGTTTATGTAAATACATGGGAAAAAGTTGTAGAAGAAAGTAGAGAAAAATATTCCTTTTGAAGTACATGCTACATGGAAAGAGGATTTGGAGCCGTTAAATAAGTAACAATTTAGAATATTTTAATTATAGAGACTGAGGAGGTTGTCAACAAAATATAGAACAGAAAAGATCTACCCAACCATCACTGGGGAGAAAGAAGAAAATGTGAAAAAGAACAGATATAAGGATATACTGCCATGTAAGTCTGAATCTCTTTTCTTTTTAATAACTTTTCTATCTTTCTGTTAACATTTACAGTGTTGTACGTAGGTGAATTAGTTGGTAATTATTTATAGAAAAGAATATTTTTTCCTAAGATGTTCCATCTGACTGAATTAATCCTTATTTTTCTGTTTGCCATGTTTGCATCTTCTATTTAAATACTCCAGTGTTTTTTTAAAAAAATATTAAGTTTCATGGCGAAACTAATGTAGCAAAACTTTTTTTTTGAATCATCAAATATTGGTAGATATGCCCACCTAGTTTCAAAAAGTCACATTTCTTACAACTTAGGAGAAAAAAGAGAGAAAAGCTGGAATGAATATTCACTGTGCACAGTATATAGTTTCTGATCGTATTTTATTTGAACGTACGTGATATTTAAGTGATAACTTCAAAGAAAGCAAGAACCACATTTGTGAACGTTTCACTAGAATGAAAATGAAAGTTTAAATATATAGGTAATAATTTCTGTTCTGTAGTATTGGCATTTTAAATAATGACACTTGCCTTGTTTTTCTTGGCTGCTTTTTATCTTCTAAATGCAACAAAATAAAGAACTATCTCTCTTCACTGCCTGTTGTGGCAGTGAAGTCCTTGACATATGACCAGCCTTTTAATGACTATCCAACGGTTACAATGTCCTTGAAAAGATTATTGTACAAGCTTGTAAAGCGCTTCCAGCTGTCATAAAGTGGCACGTCTTTACAATGTTATGAATTGCATCTTTACAGCCGGTTGCCAAGAAGGTTTGTAATCTTCTTTAGTGACTTCCCCGGAAGGTCAGTTGGGATGCCAGCACAGGGGAGGGAGCGGAGCTGAAGTTTCCCATGGGTTGCAGGAATGGAGCTGAAATCTTCAGCCTGCTGCCACATAAAGGATTTCCCTTCATGCAAAAGGAAGTGGGGGGAAACTTACTGTGAGGATGCAGGAACAGAGCTGAATTCCTGAAGATTTTAGGTCTGTTCCTGTAGCTCCTCCCACCCTCCCAAAGGATTTCCCATCTGTGCATGGAAGAAACGAAATGAGGCTGTAGCAACATTTAAGATCAATAGGGCTGCCTGCTGGAAGGATTTCAGCTCCACATGGGGTTGAAATCCTTTGGCGGCAGCACTTCATCGGATTAATGACCTGGGAGACAGCTTAACAACTGCATCCAGAGGGGCCGGGATTGTGGTTGTTGAGCAAAGGAGTCGCGTGTCCGTTTTGCCTAACCGTTTCTTTGCTCCATGACAGATTCCGGTCTCAATCATATGTGTAATTTGAGGACTATTGGCACTTACACTTAGGGTTAGCTAAAGGAATTGAGTTGTTATTTAAGAGGACTGCCTATCGTTGGTATTTCTTTGCTAGCTTGCAATGTCATTTTTTCTCCCCAAAATCTGTTGTATTTCAGTTGATCACAGTAGAGTTAAACTGACGTTAAAAACTCCCACCCAAGATTCTGACTACATCAATGCAAATTTTATTAAGGTATGTAATCATTTTATTACCTTGGGTAACGTGTGTGTGTGTGTGTGTGTGTGTGTGTGTGTGTGAGAATACCTCAAAAGACTTGACTTAAATTTCTCCCTGGAGATCCATTTTTGGTATGGAAATATTGTGTGTGGTTGAGCTTGAATGCTAAGAAGCTAACCCCTCCCCTCCAAAAATACCTCAAACAAATAAAGATGACCCCCGTAAACTATTAGTTCAGGAAACAATAATTGCCAAACTAATAGAGCAAAATTAGTCACAAAACCAAAGAAAACAAAATCTCTAATTTTAGCAATGTGCAAACAACCTGTTTAACTGACTGTGGTAACTTGGAACTGAATAAGAGGCTTTGGTTAAGAGATTTGAATATATTAGTAAATGAATAACAATCAGCTATTAGCATGTGATAGGTTTGTTGCAAAGTACAAGCAAATTTTGAAACCTTTTTATTTCTGCCTTTGGAAATATAACACGTTAATCAAGAATTAACATATAATTCTTCTAGAAGGCAGAAGTAAATTAATGTCATTTGTTCTGTTTGTTTATATTGCAGAAGCAATCATGTGTATTATTCCTGCAATGGAATAGGATCCCCGAAGCAGCTTATTATTTTTCTCTAACAATTTTCTTAAGAATTATAAATGAAAAAAAATCAAAGCAAGTACTAATTACTGGTACTATAAAAATGCAAACAATAAAATACAAAAGAAAGTGTAAGAAAAAAGAAAGTGTAATTTTCCCCTTTACCCCGTAAGTAAATACAATTTTAATAGCATATCATCATCTCTAAATAAAATACAATCTCTCAAAATAAATAAATAGAATAGATTATAATAGAATAGAATAGAATAAAATCCAATCCAATCTCTCTTCACCCCATAGCACATCTTTTAAGTAAAATAACAAATTTAAACATTTTGTCAATCATTCATTGTCAGTAAAAATGCAGTAATACATACTTTTTTTCTTTTAGCCCTGCTTGAATAAGCTGACTTTGGATTCCTTCTCAAAGTTTTTAAGGATCTTATTTTTTAATCCCTTCAAAAAAAAAAAAAAGTCCCAGAGCTCTAGGTTTTCTGTTCATTTGTTTTCTTAAGCGAGAAATCATTCAGAATGTTAACATTCCTTTTTGTGTATCCAGTATGTAAAAAAATTCATTTTGCTTGTTATTCTTCAAGATTTTAACAGAAATCTTTTGTTTATCCGGTAAAGAAAGTTATCCAACTCAGTTTCCTGGTTCACTAGCAATGCATCTCCTTTAGGGAATACCCTACGTCATCCATCAGTTCCATTTGTCCTTCTATGAGCAGCTTATATAATGGAAAATAGTTATTATGGGTTAGATTTTAGGGCTCTGTATCCTTGCATCGGTAAGCGCCTTTCCCTCAAAACCAGATTAGGCGATTCTTAATAGCGTCCCGTGTCCTTTAAATGAAATCTCAAAATTGGATGTTGGTTTTGTTGACTTTTTTAAAAAACTAAACTTTCAACTTTGGGAAAAGGAGGCCAATAGGAAGAGATATCAGTTAAAGAAAACAATTCTTACATTTTGCAGTCTGCAGCTGTGGGGGAAAAAAACCATAATGCTTCCTGAGCATTTGGGCTGTAAACAGTGCTTTTTTTTTTAATGTGAGGGTTTGTATGAACTTGTATTTTCATTAATAAAAATTGGTATTTGTCTAGGATTTCTTTACATGCTCCTTTTGGTTTGAAAAGGAGGGTTTGTTGACATTTTGCATCCATTTTTAAAATTGAGCTACTTTGGATCGCATCTATCCTGTTTCCCCGAAAATACAACCTACCCTGAAAGTAAGTTCTAGCTTGATTTTTACATGTGTAAAAATCACCCCCCAAAATAAGCCCTAATTAAGATCCCACCCACTCCAGTGGACGTGTAAAAAGCTACGGTGGGGATGGGGGGCTGTGGAGCTGCCCTACTACTTACCTTTGGACAGTTGTAGCCAGGCCTTGCACACCCCGACACCTGCCCTGTCTTCTGCAGCCAGTAAGGCTTTCCTAAAGGCTCTGTAGCTAATAACAGAGCTCCAGATCAATCTGTTATTGGCTGAAAAGGCCTTCAGGAAAGTTCAGAAGAAGCTCCTGAAGGCCTCTGACAGCGAAAAGGAGGCCGGGGGCGACGCACACAAGTGAGGTTAGTCAGTGGATGGCATCCCCTGAAAATATGACCTGGCGTCTATTTTGGTGGCAAAAAAACTCCCATAAGACAGGGTCTTATTTTGGGGGAAACATGGTATCTCTGGAACAATCTTGTTTGGACCTTTTTATGCATAAGAGCAATCTTCAAATGCACCTGGGTCTGTAATAATACTCATGCGCACGTTGCAATTTCAGGGAGTACATGGACCAAAAGCGTACGTTGCAACCCAGGGACCACTAGCAAACACAGTCATTGATTTCTGGAGGATGATATGGGAGTACAATGTAGCAGTAAGTATCTTAAATACAGATTGCTCTTGACTTAACAACAGCTCAAAGTTACAACGGCGCTGAAAAAAGTGACTTACGCCCGTTTTTCACAGTTACGACCTTTACGACCGTCCCCCACGGTCACCTGATCAAAATTCAGGACGCCCCCCTCCTTGGCAACTGACTCATATTTATGATGGTCGCAGCATCCCTGTGGGGGGAAGTGTCACGTGAATCCCCCTTTGACGACCTTCTGACAAGCAAGGTCAACGGGGGAGCCAGATTCACTTTGGCAACCGTGTCCGTAACTTAACCGCAGTGATTCGCTTTACAACGGTGGCAAGAAAGGTCGCAAAAATGAGGCAAAACTCAATTGGCTTAAAAAGAATTAGTTGCTTAATTTGCTTAGCAAAGGAAATTTTGGGCTCAATCATGGTCCTAAGTCCCAGGACTTCCTGTGGCTTTTAAGTCCATAGGGCTGAAGTTTACATTGGAAGCTTCGGTTGAGTCTGTCACCTGCACCTCTATAACTGTCTGGTTTGGTTCTGCAACCCAACAGGACAGACACAGACTTCAGAGGGTAATTAGAACTGCAGAAAAAACAATTGCTACCAACCTGCCTTCCATGGAGGACCTGTATACTGCACCCCGAGTTAAAAAGAGGGCTGTGAAAATATCTACAGGCCTCTCACATCCTGGACACAAACAGTTTCAACTCCTTCCCTCAAAACGCTGCTATAGAGCCCTGCACACCAGAACAACTAGACACAAGGGGAGTTTTTTCCCCACATGCCGTTATGCTGCTAAACAATTCCCTCAACACTGTCCAACTATTTACAAAGTCTGCACTACTATTACTATTAATCGTCTCATCACTCTTTATCACCCATCTCCTCTCACTTATCTGTATGACTGTAACTTTGTCGCTCGTATACTTAGGATCTATATTGACTGTTTCCTAGTATGATTTGATTGCTTATTGTATCGTATAACTATCATTAAGAATTGTATCTGATGATTCTTGACGAATGTATCTTTCCTTTTATATACACTGAGAGCATTTGCATCAAATTCTTGGTGTGTCCAATCACACTTGGCCAATAAAGAACTCTATTCTATTCTATTCTATTCTATTCTATTCTATTCTATTCTATTC